AAGATGGAGTTACCGGTTAAAGCTCCGATTCCCCATGGCCGGAAAATCTCATATAGATTAGAAACCAAGAATCTTTCATACCAATTATGCGAAAACACTCCAAAGTTTTCTAATTTATGTGGTTTGTTGAATGAGAAGGAAGAAAAAGTTATCTTAAAAGATGTTTCTTGCGAAGCAAGATCCGCGGAGATCACCGCGATCGCGGGTCCTAGTGGTGCCGGGAAAACAACGTTGCTAGAGATTCTCGCCGGAAAAGTTTCTCAAGGGAAAGTTTCAGGTCAAGTTCTTGTTAATGGTAGGCTTATGGATGGTTCTGAGTACAGGAGGGTTTCAGGGTTTGTACCACAAGAAGATGCTCTGTTTCCGTTTCTTACGGTGCAAGAAACACTAACGTACAGCGCACTCCTGAGGCTGAAGATGAAGAGGAAAGAGGCGGTCGCGAAGGTGAAGAGGCTGATTCAAGAACTCGGTCTTGAACATGTTGCGGATTCGAGGATCGGAGAAGGATCAAGATCAGGAATCTCTGGAGGAGAAAGAAGAAGGGTTTCTATTGGAGTTGAGCTTGTTCATGATCCAAATGTTATATTGATTGATGAGCCAACCTCTGGTTTGGATTCAGCGTCGGCTCTTCAAGTTGTGATGCTACTCAAAGATATGACGGTTAAACAAGGAAAAACCATTGTTCTGACGATTCATCAACCCGGTTTTCGCATACTCGAGCAGATAAACCGGATAGTGTTGCTCTCTAATGGGGTGGTTGTTCAAAACGGATCGGTCAATAGCCTTCAACAGAAGATCAAGTTCTTCGGTCACCAGATTCCGCGGCGTGTAAATGTTCTGGAGTACGCAATTGATATTGCAGCGAGTCTTGAACCGATCGTAACCCGGAGTTGCAGAGAGATCTCATGTTATGGACATAGCAAAACATGGAAGAGTTGCTATAATAATGCAGGAGGAGAGTTTCATCAATCTGATTCTCACAGAAACTCAGTGTTAGAGGAAGTGCAGATACTTGGGCAAAGATCTTGCAAGAACATCTTCAGAACCAAGCAACTGTTCACAACCAGAGCTTTACAAGCCTCCATAGCCGGTCTAATACTCGGATCGATTTACTTGAACGTAGGAAATCAAAAGCAAGAAGGGAAAGTCTTGCGAACCGGGTTTTTCGCCTTTACACTCACTTTCCTACTGTCTTCTACAACAGAGGGACTTCCAATTTTCTTGCAAGACCGGAGAATCTTAATGAGAGAGACATCAAGAAAGGCTTACAGAGTTTTGTCTTACGTTTTGGCAGATACCTTAATCTTCATTCCGTTCTTGTTGATCATAAGCATGCTCTTCGCTACACCGGTTTATTGGCTGGTCGGTCTAAGAAGAGAGCTCGACGCGTTCCTCTACTTCTCGTTGGTGATTTGGATTGTTCTTCTGATGTCAAACTCCTTTGTTGCATGTTTTAGTGCTCTTGTCCCAAACTTTATAATGGGAACATCAGTGATCTCAGGTCTTATGGGATCTTTCTTCCTATTTTCGGGGTATTTCATCGCGAAGGAGAGGATCCCGGTTTATTGGGAGTTCATGCATTATCTCAGCCTCTTCAAGTATCCATTCGAATGCCTGATGATCAACGAGTATCGAGGCGACGTATTCTTAAAGCAACAAGATCTCAAGGAGTCTCAGAAATGGAGTAATCTTGGTATCATGGCAAGTTTCATCGTTGGGTACAGAGTCCTTGGATTCTTCATCTTGTGGTACAGATGTTACAGAACAAGAAGCTAAGTAATAATAA